CTCCTGGCATGCGGACTACAGAAAATCACTATAAAGAGTTTCTTTCCACAAAAGAATCTGGTTTGCTTTCTTCAAGACAGCAAAGCTTCTTGTGCACACTTGATGGTTGCTATATGCCATGTCTGACCACCTGGATTGGGTGACTCTTCAGAACGAAGGTCCAGTGTTGCAGGGATAACCTGCCTGCTCTGAGCTTCATGAAGTTGGAGAGCTTTCTCTACTCTTTTGACCATGTTCCATGAACTGTCAAGCATTGGACCGCTCCTCCCCAGCCTGATAGCCTTCCACTTTCCAGTGGTAGGGAAAGAACAGGCTTTCCTACTGTTAGGGCTAGGGTGGTTATCCTCCAAGGTAAGAAAGTTCTTGCTTGGCTGGATAGGACCATGGGTAAGTAGAAGGAAAGAGTCTTGATTTTTCCATGCCAACAAAAAATGTTTTCTTTGAGAGTTCTTAACTGAACTGTGCAAAATGCATTACCTCAAACAAGCAACCCCTAGGCCTTTAACTCCCTCAGATAATCTCACTATGGATTTCTCTTGAATGTCAGATCTCAAACATGAGCTCTTAGTGAAATAATTTTCTTTTCTGAAAGAAAGACTTTCACTTGGGGAGAGTCCAGGACCAAACCCAAGTATTCCAAGCAAAAGGTTGGAGAACCGTCTGCTTTCCAAGTGTGAAGCAGAGAACCCATACAGGATCCAGTGCCCAAAGCAAACAGACTGTCCCCACAAGGTAGGGTATGGCTGCCAAGGTTTTACCAAGCTTGAACCGATCCAGAGTCATGGCTTCTGTGTAGGCATTAAACAGTGAGGGTTTACTGAAAAATTTGAAAAAAAAAAAAAAATAGAAAAATAATTAACTAGTGAAGCTGATTTCTCTGTGCATAAGAGGTCTATCACCTTCAGAAAATGGCTCAAAAAGAAAGATTCAAGGAGAAGAGCAGAGATATGGGTGCGGCACCCAAAAAGGGGCATGTCTTCAAAAGATTGCCAGTGTCCAATCACACAAAACATACATATAGTAGCACTACAGCCCTCAAATATGGTTTTGTAGAATTTGTCCAGCAGCAGGACAATTTGACAGCAGTGACCATCTTTATGCAGAGACAAGACATGCATTTTTTGTTTTATATAAAAAATTAGAGCTTCAAGATGACCAGTGACAGACTGTTTTGCACCAGCTTTGCGCTGCCCGCAGCATAGCATGGCCACTTCGTCTCCCCAGAGAAGGAAGGAAGATTCACACACAGCTATAATCCTTTGTTTGTGATTGCTCTGTGCTTGGGAGTAATCCACTCAACTACCTCCTCTAAATGTCTTGACTAGACTGGCTTGCCACTCTGCCTATGGAAATGCAGAATTAAGGGTCATGTCTCTGCTCTATTTGACTACACCACCATTTTGTCATGCAGGACCTGCTTGTAAAGTCAATTTCCCCTTATTCACTCCATGCTCAGCACTGCTACATCTGCCTTTAAGCATACCATTTTGTTTTTGTCAAGTCTATGCCTAACTTATTTTACTATGCGTATGGGGGGGTGCAGTGATTGTGGGTGGTAGCTTAATGTGGTTTTGGTGCACACTGTATGTAATTATTTTGTGATGACATAGGGCTGAAGTCCGCCTGAATGAAAAAGGGTGTAGGGTGCATAAGATAGGCAGGAATAGCAACCGCAGGCAGTTGCAAATAAACTCAAGAACAAGATGTGAGGGAAAATTATGCACTTAGCACCCACGGTGTCTCTGGGGCCTGACAGAGGAAATCTGCAGATCCTGCCCTACCTTTAGCACAGAACATGGTTTTAAGAATCTTCTGACCAGCTCCTGGTACAGCAAAGCATCCACAGTCATGGGGCAAGGGACAAGAACCTTAACTACACTGCTACTAACATTTACCTAATTATGGATAGATGTGAGAAAGGGATCAGGAGGCTGAGGATCAGCTACAGAGGACCTCTCTCTAGGTGATCAGGTCCTACCATGGCCTTCTGATGCAGGAGGTACCGGCTACCAAAATAAAGGAGGCTGAAATTCCTATGACTCCTCCAAACATCTCCTACATTGATGCAAGAGCACAATCTGGCCATCTGTGGTATTACTAATTACAAAGTCAAGAGAAGGGCCAAAGAGACGTCCCTCAAAGGCTTAATGGGTCAGATTCTGCTTGGGCACAGGATCAGCATCCCAGCTATGCACCCAAAGTGCTCTGTGCATCTGTAAGGACATCAGCCCAGACATAAGCTTAGATGTTTGTAACAAACCATTGCAACTAAAGCAAAAAACTCCAGGCATTTGTTCCAGTCACTCTATAAAACAGAGGCTGACCCCAGTAGGAAAAGGTTCCTTTTTTGAGATAATCTACTCATTCTGACACAGTTCAGCAGATTTTAAAAACACTGCCAACACAGGACAGAGGGCCAGACAAGTAAATTCAAACTGGGATTTAAAGAGACTGTCTGTGAGTTCCTGAAATTCCAAAAGATGATCACAATCCTATCCAGCTTAGTGGTATTTCTCCTAAGATGGGCCACTGGTGTACCCACAGTAGGAACAGACCACCTATTTATGAATTCACAATCAAAAAGGAAAAGTTGCAACACTCAGTAGGATGTTTCCAGTCTGCATATAGGAAGGACTCGAAAAGGTGTAGTGGAAAGATCTTTTCAGCTGTAGGAGCTTTACAAAAACAAGGCTTAGATAAGCAGGCTAACCCTCCAGATGCAGATTAATATGCACCTCAGCAACAAGGTTTGAGACAATTCCCTGCAGATCAACAGCAGGAAACTGCAATGCCTCAAAAAACAGACTGTTTGGACTCTGAATCTAGGTAAAAAAATGGTAATGTGGCAACAGGCCTTGTTTGATTTAAGAGCTCAGCAGGGTCACAGACTCTACAGGGGATGACTCTGGTGTACCAGGAGCTTAGAGCTTCTGTGGGTAGAATTCCCCAGTAGCTGAGCTCAAACAGCCAAGAAGTCTGGAAAGGACATACAGGTCCCTGTGGACATGGGGGAGGCCTCAGCCTCGCCCAACAAAGCTGAGGAAGACCATAAATATGATGCCTCTAACAATAGGGGTCCCAGATTACAAGTGCTGGTTCCTTCAGGGGACACTGGGTAAACACCCCCAGAACCACTAATGGATCATGTGCTGATGTCATGCATGGCAGCAGGACTGTTCTCTGTGTTGCAGATAAAAAATCCTATGACGCAAAGAGGGCTTGCAAATAATAGATACAGCGGACCTGAAGAAAAAAGTGTCCAACCTTTTAGGACACTAGTCAAAAACTGAGGAAGGGTAGTTGGGGTGGGGATTACAAGGGGGTCTGTCCCAACCTCTTGTAGGAGATATTATACCCAACTGTTTCTGAAGTACCGTGTTCTCATTTGACAAGAAAAAAATCTTAACCCCTTCACTCTGCCGCCTCCTGGCCCTAAGAGTTTCAGAAGCTGGGGGGCGGAACGAGCGGGGTTTAGGGATCATGAGACTGCCGAGATGCGTCTTTACGGCGATCACATGATCGGGAAAGGTCCCGATCGAAAGGGGACACCGGAACCTTTCCGTGAGTACCAGACATGTCTGCTGGGAGCGCGCAGGGTGCGCTCTCTCAGCACGTTTTCTTTTTAACAGAACGTAAATGTGCGGCCGCTAGGCGTCTAGGCCCAGACGCCGGGAGGCCGCACATTTGTGTGCGGCTGGTGTGAAGAGGTTAAACATCTGTTCTCGACATTACCTGCAGTGCTTGTCTTCATTTTGCAGTTTGCCATTTCACAGGCCTGCACACTTAGTGGGACCTGAATAAGAACTGAAAATGTCCCTATTGAGTTACAAGACAAAACCAAAAGGAAGGAATGATGGAATGCTTATTAAACAAAATGGGACTTTATCTATATTTTTTATTCACAAAAGTGTCAATATTTTAGAATTATCAAACAAGTGACCTATGGTATCTAAAAACATGTTAAGACAGTCTGTTGTTGCAGAATGAAGAGAATGGTCTTCTACTAGTCTCTGGCTTATAAATAAAACCTACAGGTTACACAGGTGTATAAGAACTTACACCACTGCAGTGCCAAATACAGGACCAAAGAACTTAGGAGAGGACATATTCAAAGACACGGTTGCTGAATACTGCTGGGTATTGCTTTCTGGACTGCTTGTAAATGGCAACTGGGTATTGCTTTCTGGACTGCTTGTAAATGGCAACTAAAGAGAAAGCAAACAGAAGCAATAAATCATCTCTTTTGGTGTGCCCCTATACCTTGCAGAGAAGACATAAAAAAATAACATGTTCTGCATTTAACATATACAATATATACATTTATTATTTGCACAGTTAAATTAGGGCTAAATTTGTTTGAACATAAATAACTTGCAGCTAAATACTCTACACTTAGCTTGGATTTAAAGGTTTGCAGGCATAAATACCCGCTATATGAAAAAGTAAGAAGAAAAAAAAAAAAAAAAAGGGCTCGGAATCTGGCTAGGTTGAATTGCCATTGACCATCTCTAACAAAAGGACTGTATCTAAATACACAAAGCGTAACCTATGGCCTGGAAGATACAAACTATTAGGAGTAAACATCTCGTTTGCATGAAAATATACCATATTCATGAGTAAATGATTGCTGGAATTGGCAAACATGGGTTTGGCCCACACACATTCTCTCCCTTACGGAGCAAGTTCCATACTTTAGGAGTCTTGGACATGTGTGTGAGGTAAGCATATGGTGCACATTCTAATTTCTAACTTAAGTATTGTGTGTAAAGCGATAAAGAAAGTAAACCTGTACTGTAAACCTGTGATCGTCTAAGTAAATAATCTGCTAAACAAACATTTCCATAGTCATTACACAATGTAAACACCAGCCGGTCAGTTTTGGTACACTTGACATAGCATTAAAAAAGGTATTTTGCAAATAGCAGAACTATAAAATAAAACCGTCTCTCCGGACTGAGAATGTTTTCACAGGAATTCAACTAAGAACACACCTAGGGATTTTAGGAAATGATACAGTTTTTGCCTTTGTGTCCCTTCTTCTTTTTGGATTTAGTGGTCCTTTGGCCAAAATGACTACTAGATAGTGCAGCTGTGGGACTAGGAAGACCATCTGTAAAATATTGGCATCTTTGTGGTCGTGGCTGAGGAATAGGCTGTCCAAGAAAATATCCTTCCTCTTCTGAGTCAGAAGAAGATGAGGAACAGGTTGAACACCAAGAGTCCTCATCATCGCCATACAACCCAAAAAATTTATCCATCAACTGGCTTTGCAGTCCATAATCTGAAGCAGCATTTGTATACTGTCCAAACAGTTCACTATTTTGCATATACGCTTGGACCTCTTGAGGAGATCTGTTCTGAAAGAGTCTGTCGTAATCCTCAGAAGTGTAACATCTTTGTTTTTCGCGTCCTGGAGGTTTGTGGTCTGCTGCAAGATGAAGTGCATTTTCAGAGCGAGACTTCCTATTTTTCCTGCGCCGGTGGTGTTGGTGTGGCCTTTGGCTACTTTCTTCAAAATTGTAAACCCTTCTCCTACTCCTCTCACTCATTGGGGGCTGTCTGATTTCAATGCTGCCATAGTCGCCGTTGTCAATGACATCATCAGAAAATTTGACTTGTGGTCTGGTCTGTGACTTAGACCTTCTCAGTGCCGACATATGAACTGGCTTTTCTTCTGGAAGCGGCTTTTCCTGGCACAGTTCTGAACTTAGGCTTTTCAAAGATTCAGAACTCCTGTTCAGCATGGAAGAGTTGAGAGTGCCCATGTTGCTCATTTTCTCACAGTCCCTTGAGTCCAAGTCTTGGAAGCTTGGATAAGAAAAGTGTGAAGGTCGCGTTTTACTTTCCCCATCAACAGATGCTCCTGGAAAGAAGAGAAACAAAAATTATTTGTAGAAATTTGAAACAAACACAGAGCAAAAAGTTCATCAAATATAGGTAAAATGGGACTTAAACTGACTAAAGCTGGCCACAGATCGTAAGAATCTCAGAGCTCAGCAGGGACCAGAAGAGATTCAAACCATGTATGGGCAAGGCTGACTGTACCCAAGTCAATTTTTACATGTGTTGCTTCATCTATGACTGGCTTTAAGGGGCTTCCCATGGATTCAAATTAGTTGGTAAACTAAAATGGACAAAGATTAAAGAAAACTAGCAATTTATAATCGGATTAGGTTTTGCTTGTGTCCATCAGGGGAGGGACATACATGGTTGCTACAGAAGACTGAAGACCTTTGAATATAAAACAGGAGAAAAAAAATATTAAAACTAAAAGGGTGCAAAATGATTTAATTATATAACAAAAATTTTCTGGTAATCATACTATTAACAAGGCAAGTTTTGCTGCCTGGCAATTTAATTTTTGCTTATGTGTAACTGTGGTGGTGACATTAGATGTAAGACACTTAAATAGGACACCGATGTTAATGGCTCAGTGTATCCTTAAAGGCTCGTGCACGTGTATTATTTTAGAAGTCTTTCTGCTTACAAGAGAAAAGCAGCATTTATGCAACTTTTTCAGCCCAAACGCTCCTCTTCAAAAAACGCAATCATTTTTTTTTTTCTGCCTCTAAATGCCTATAGGTGCATGGACACATAGGCCAACATAGAAGGGCATTTGGAGACAGAACAAAGAAAGATAAAATCTGTGAAAAACAGGTTTTAAAGCTGCAGTGTGCCTGAGGCTTAAACAAGAAGCCATTGGTATCAAAAGGGCAATAAAAATCTAAATCAAATCAATTTTAACATTAGTATATATTACCCTGATTGCCAAGGATGTCAGTCATGTGACAGGTTTTAAATTCTGTAAGCAAACGATTTCCATTGTATTAACCACTTCCAGACCGGACACTTTTACCCCCTTCCTGACCAGGGCAATTTTCAGCTTTTAGCGCTATCACACTTTGAATGACAATTGCGCGGTCATGCAACACTGTACCCAAATGAATTTTTTACCATTTTTTTGAGATAGATAAAGCTTTATTTTGGTGGTATTTATTTACCACTGGGATTTGTATTTTTTTTGCTATGTAAATGAAATGTCCAAAAATTTTGAAAAAAAGTGTTTTTTTTAATAAAATTTTGCAAATAAATAATATTTCATCATAAATCTTAGCCAAAATTTATTCCGTTATCTTTTTAGTAAAAAAAAAAAATCCAAATTAGTTTATAAGCAAAAATTATAATTTTTAAACATTTTTTTTTACATTTTTATTTTATTTTTTTATATTATTTTTTTTTTTTTTTTTTTTTTTTTTTTACATACTGTCACCCTAGCAGTACAGTGTCACCATGGTGACACTGTACTACTTGTGAGGGGTGATGAAGATTTTTTTTTTTTTTTTTACACTGATTGCTTTTACACCCATATAGGATGTAAAAGCAATCATTTCTCTTTCTCTCTGTGTGCATTCTTGCACTCATTGAGAAGAACTGAGTGAGCTGTGATTGGTCACAGCTTGTCACATGGTACAAGGCTTTTGTGAATAGCCTTGTACCATGTGACCTCTGTGATCATTCACAGATTTCACACATAGTAAGCAATGATGCCAGAAGTGACATCTTGCTTACTACTTTGCATGTGATCACTGATTGGCCAATCAGTGATCACATGATCGGGACCTCGTACAGAGGTCCCGTCCGACGATCGGTGTTTCACTGTGTCCGGAGCGCGCACAAGCAGGGTGCGGGGAGGCCGTTTATAGACGGCCACCCGACCCTGCAGTGCCACCGTCCGGCCGTTTATATACAACGGCCGGTCGGGAAGTGGTTAAGTACTGCTATGCAAACTTTGTTGGTAGATTAAATTATTAGAAATATTAGAATAAGGCCAAGGAAAACAAAAGTTAGTACCTGTTATATTGGACAATGCCAATGAATCCATTGAATCACGTATGTTTTCAATTTGTGGCTTCATATCATCAGACAAACATTCCAGAGAACTCTTGTACCAAGGTATCTTGTCATGTTTGTAACCAGATGCACCATGCTCTAAATCCAGCTCTTGTATTTTCCTGCTGCTGGCAGGGCCTGGATGACTTCCATATGCCGAATCACCAAGTCCATCCTGTGACTGTGCCCAGTACATATCAGTTTGATATTTTTTACTTGCCAAACTCTGATTATGCTTGCTTCTTTTTAGGTCACTATTCATTTTGACATTTTCAGACATCCAAGGGTCACTAGATCCATTACCTTCAGCAGGCTGCTGAAAGAGTCCTTTCTCACCAAACTTTAAAAGTAACTGAGTCATGTAGTCATCATGCTCAGCCCATTCTTCATGGTCTTCTGGAGTATCCTGCTCATCCCTTCCTTTCCAAAAGTCATTATCAAAACTGGCCCCATGCCTTGATAAGCCAAGGTCATCCATCTTCCGAGACAGAGTATCATCGGCATTTCCAGAAAGGCCAGGAAACTTGTAATTCAGTGCTGGAGACAGCAAGAGAGATTGTCTACATTGATCTGCTGACCTGCTGCTCTTTCCCATTCGAACACTTCTCCTTGATTCCCTGGATCTAGCAGACTGGAAGGCAGAGTCAGAAGAATCTGATGCGTGCATATCCTCTCCCAAACTGCAAGTTTTCGAACAATAAATGCGGCCTTTTTTTGGCAGAAAGGGACAACCCAGAAGTGAAACTTTGCACTGAGCACAACAAAAGCAGCTTTCTGTAGCATGCCAGTGTTGGCCATCATAGGTCATCTGAGCATGATCCACACCTAAAAGAAACATAAACTCAACTTAATCAAAGAATGCTATACAAGACATGACTACTTTACAGCCCATAACTTAACTATGGCAGTGCAAAAGATTAAGTGCTCTTGTACATCATTTGCATTACTTATTTGGAATGCATACAGTTACAAAAAAAAGAAATAAAAAAACGTAATAAACTAATAAATTAATTAGAAGACCATTGTTGCTTTCTTTAACTGTTACAGAATGTACCAAAATTTCAGTGTACAGAAAACTGGCCCAACTTACCTATATGTTCTCCACAGGATTCACAGTACTCTGCATAATGAGATTCAAAGCAACTACAACAGAAGGGGCGACCATCCTTCATTATATATCTCTGTCCACCGAGCACAGTTTCACACTCGTAGCAACAAAAATGCTTCATGTGCCAGTGACGCCCCTCAGCCTCTGTGCATTCATCAGCAAATATAATCTGAAAGAAGAAAAGAACATAGGGCATATAGAAGCAGAATTGCAAATGCTGTAACATCAAACCACAGGCAGCCACAAAAAAAAAAAAAAAAAAACAAAAAACAAAAAAACAACCAAACTATACACTGAAAAATGTGTTTCCAGGTTATTAATTCTAATACAGCTGTACAATTGATTTTAAGTAATTGGTTCCAAACCATTATTAGTACCATATATTAGTCCTAAGGTATTACTAGCACTCAAGACTAAGTAAAGGGATTGAGTACCATATATATTCCAGTGAAATGTAAAACCAAGCTGCCAGCTGTATACATTTTTTAATATACTCAGAATCAGTGTTTAACATGGGCTCAACTTCTACATTGTATTCAAACAGTGCCGAAAGCTTGCAATAAAAGATAACTGCAAAATGAAAAGGTAATAGGCAATTGCCGAAATAAGTAATTTTATATACCTCATCACAGGCAGAGCATCTTGGTTTGAGCAGTTCAGCATGATGCCTGCCACAATGTACTTTTTCCATCCTGGTAAAAGTATATGAGATCAACAAGCAGCTCATTACACGTGGAGCAAACAAAACATGCTGGGTGCCAGCATACCCCAGGACCGGCTCTTGAAACAAAAATTCCTATTTCACCACCATTAATCTTTTCACGGCACTAAAGAGGGGAAAAAAGAAAAGAAAAAAGAAAGGAAAAATTACAATATAAACTGTATTTAAACACATTTAGTCTATACCATGTTGATTGAATGTTGGCACGTTTGTTAAAGTTCACATTAAAAGGAAAAATACTACTTCTGACATACAACTAGCAAAGGAATTTAAACACCCATTTAAAATCCAAAGGGAGAAAAGTCTAATAATCCCAGACCATAAACGGATTCTAAACCAAGAAAAATATTGCTGATGTATGTTAAGTAGATATTTAGAGAACCACTTAAGCTGGTTTTCATTATTTGAATGTGGTTTTAATAAACTTAGCCATCTGGCTACAATTTGACACTTCTCCCATAGAGAAATACACTATTATCCAAAGCCCGCACATACATGAGACATGTGAATGTACACACAGACCAGCTCAGGGGCTTTCTACAGGATATATTTAAGAAAGAAATCAATCACAGGACAACTGCAATATATGGCATAAATAAGCAGTGTCACTTTAATCGGGAGTGATCCTAGATCAAAAGTTAAAATCAATAGTCCCTGCATTTTATTACTAAAACACAAGAGACAATTCATCTTTAACTGGAATTTCCTCAAATCCTCTTTGAAAGACTCTGAAGTTGAAGCTTCAGAGTACCCTACTAGGCATCTGTGGGCACAAGGAAAATACCTTTGCAACAGTCTAATAAAGTTGAACAACGACTTTTCCAGAACAATGACAGCCTTCCCATACCGTCACAGGTTCTTTTCTATTCATAACATTGGCATTAGAGCTCCTTTTTCATAGCAGATTGGTAAAAGAATGAGCAGGTATGATCCCCAATATAAAATGTTAGCAGCTAGATTTATCTTCTGTGACTAAGCAGTGACTCATATTTTGTTCTCTATAATCATTTACACAGACTTGACATAACGCTCAAAGCATGGCACATACCTGCTCACAGACCGCATGCATCGCAGCCCTTGATAGCAGTTTAATATTGCCTCTCCCAAGAGCCTCTTTTTTGCGTTGTGTACTAAACATTATTAATTCTTTCTTCTCCTCTTCACTTAATGCCTGGCAGTACCTCACCTATGGAAACAAAAGATTTAAGTCTTAGCATTAGCAGACACCTAACTGCCACATTCTTACAGAGGTGCAAGCACTCTGAACTACTACTACTAGGTTAAGGTTTAGTCCTAAAATAAAGAAAAAAAAAAATAAAAAACACACAACAGAGAAAAAAACCAAACCTTCTCTATAGTTTTAACATAGTAGTAAACATCACTTGCGGACTTATAATAAAGCTTACCTGTAGGTACAAGGAAAATCTCCTAAACGTGCACCATTTAGAAGATATCCACTATTTTTGCAGCCATTGACATCACTGCAGTGTACTCCAAAGGGACAGCATACTGAGTATACCATCCCTTTAAAGTTCTGTGCCAAGGCCATGGCTCCTGTGCGCATGCGCAGGAGTGACGTCATCACAGCTCAACCATTCAATCAGCCAGAGTCCACGAACCCGGAAGGAAGACCTGTCAACAGTGACCGCTTGCCACTGGAGGGCTTTGTTTTAAGGAAAGTCTCTCATAATGTGCTAGTATGCAGTGCATACTAGCACATTATGACATTACCCTGCAGGGCACACTTTACTACTGCTATAATGAGCTAACTTACCTTTAATGAAGGGTGTCCCACGTGCCCTGCAAGCAACTGAATCCTTTATAAATCTTCATTGCAGGGATGTCTGTCCTTTTCCAGTCGCTCAATTTCTGATGCCGAGGTGTTTGGACCTTTTTCCAGACCCAAAGCTCCTGACAAAGATCTGCCCCCTCCTCAATTTGACGTTCTTTCATTACCATCACTGCCTCCAACAGGTACTGTGAATGGAGGGAGAGAATCCTGTGACTCAGGCTCTCCACCACTCAAAGACTGTGCTACACACAGTGAAAGAAATGAAAGAGTATTTCTAACAAGGAGGAGAAGGACGACGGGTCCTTGTCTGGAGCTTTAACACTGCACCTTGACAGTGGACCCAAAAAGTATTAGCCCTCACAGTGGCAGAATGTCAGAGACAGAAAGAGGTGAAAGTTTCTACAGGAACCAGCTGCCTGCACAATGTAGGACATCTTTCATTACAGGTAGGTGAGCTCGCTAAAACTAGAGAATTTTTTTTTTTTTTTTTTTTTTTTTTTTTTTTTTACGGCATAACCTCAGCTTTAAGTGTAAGCATAATCGCAAGTTATAAAGAAAAGGTCATGTGGCTATAAAATGGCACAATTATAAAGTAACTGAGTAAATATATTTACTGTTTGCAACGAGACAAAAAGAAACAGTAGAACAAAACTATAAACACTGGAATTTAAACAGCCTTGTAAACGTGAAGGAAAGAGGCAAACACTTCAAATGCAGAAAGTCCTAAAACAGCTGCTGGACAAGTATCATTTTTAAGACCTATCAGGAAAAGGCTCAACTCTTTCAAACTATTGACCCGAACAATGGGCAGAGCCAGTTGTACTCCAATAGCTGTTCAAGATACTTTTCTGAAAGGCACAAAGAATGAACAGTGGTGAGAAATTATTTTTTGCTTATTTTTGAGAGGTTACAGATCATATGGGAACTCCTGGCTTGCAAAAGGCTTGTATGACTCAAACGGCACTGTATTTGGAGACAAACTTGGACTTCAACAGTGAATTACATAGTAAGCCTTTAATAAAAGGAATGATTTTTGCATGTAAACCCTCATGGCTGACTTATTTTGATAGGAAATACATGGATATTACTCTCAATAGTTTAAAGGGTTACTAAACCCAGGACCCTGCATTCACTATATCTGGTCTCCCACAGTACACAGAACATGGAAGTGCAATTATTTTACTAAATATAAACTAATAAATACCAGAAGGATATAGAAGTCTTGTGACTTATCAGTGTCCAGCAGAGCACATGTAAAAGTTGCAGAAGGAGTTTTCATTCTGCTCTAGAATACAGGAACCCTGACCCTCTGCCTGGACAGTGCTGATTGGCCCTGTGCTGATCACATGCACTCTCTCAAGAAAACAAAAAACCTCTCTAGCAATACACACCAAACTGAGCATGTGCAGAGTGATTCCACACAATAGGTCTTATCAGGAGATAAGAGGGTGGCACTGTAAGAAGGGAAGGATCAGAGAAGTCAGGATCAAAACAGCGTTTTTACACAATATATAGGATTAATCCCTTGGGTTCCACAGTGAGTATAACAAGCATGCTTTACTGCATATACAGATGGATTTTACTGTTGTGGGTTTAGTAACACTTTAATGAAGTGATGTGTAGGCACTGGGCAGATTGATGGTGTATAACACCATGGAATAGATGGTAAAATGGAACCCAAGACAAATTCTGATAGGATGACCACTGTCAACAGATGGTGTTTTGGGGAAAAATTCCTTTCACTTCCCATTAGATCTCTGGTACTGAAAAAGGAGGAATATAACCCCTAATGGAGACACAGACACCACACTGGACAGAGATTCTAACCTTCTTCTCACCATGTCCAAAACCATGTTATTGTGCATAGGTTTGGAAAGGTTCACTCCACATAGGATGTGTTCTACAAATGTGCTTTTTCTTGCTTAAAGGAAACAAAACAAACCCTGATGCCCATCTACATTGTTCAGTATATACAGGGTTTTCATTTAACCATGCTTGCAGTCTTACCTCATTGTCATGTGGAGGAAGCTGGTACAGAAGCTGTTTGATTCGATACTTTTCACCCACGCTGTTGACATAAGGGACTTTTTCTTCAGGCAGACAGGCAAAATATAACTGAACCTGCATGAGAACAATCAACATTATATATTTTGTTGTTTTTTTCCTTCAAACAATGGCCGCTTGTACCGCTAGCATAAGGAAAGAGAGTTAAATAAAGGTGAAATGGCCAAGAGAAGAAAACAATGTAACACCACGTCTTGGGCAACTTCAGACTTATCTGATAATGAGCACCAGATGAGCTGGCTCAGCACAAATAGAGATGGTCACTTTGCACCCAGCTGCTGAATTGCTCTTCTGGAATGCAACTAGTAGAGACTATTAGGGGGTATCATAAACTGTGCACATTTAATGTGGCAATTATGCCCAGCTCCTCCAACAGTAGTCAACAACTCTATGGAAACTTCAACGTTTTTTTTTATCTACAATTACTCTGCAAAGTGCGAGAAGTCTTCTAGAAAACAACCCCTATAAACAGATTTAATTTGCCTCTTGCATTTTACACATTGGTGAGACAAAAGCTGCTTTGTTGGCTCCTGCTGGTAGGTTCATCCCAAGCCACAGTTTCATTGCTTCCATCTGAGCTCTTTCCAGAGAACCTGAAGTCAACTCCATGGGAGGGGTCACATCTGAACATGTTTCAGCCAGATGCTGTTTCAACTGTTTAACCAATCACTATCTAAATGCCACACTATAGCTAAATCCCAGATATGTGATATACCTTTAAACAAATTATGTAGTCGTAGATGGCCTCTTTCATTTTACAAGCTGATCTTCCTTTGTCAGCACTGCTAGCAGTGAACAGCATTCTTAGGTTGTGTGTAATCCCAAGCAGCATTTATACACTAAAATAAGTAATAAAAAAAGAAAAATGCCTATTTTTCATTACTTGTGATCTGGAATGGTTTATTCCAGGTACAGAAATTATCTAAGCATTTATCACTACTATCAAATAATAACTAGTTTTGTAGCTCAACAATATAGATGACAGTGCAGTGTGGGTGCTATACGAATACAAGATAAAAGAAATATGCATCAAGTCCATTCATATTAACAGCCAATATTCTCTTACCTGTTCAGGACGCAGTCCTGGTGGAACCCAAGTGTACTCCTCCATAGCACATCCAGAGTCGTCATCTGATGTGGAACTTCGCTGGCACCCATAAGTTAGTTTACAGACTTTCTGCTCCATTGCCATGGGCAAACACTTGCCAATATTCTACTTCTGGTTGTTCCAGCACATTCAATTATCCTAAAAACAAAAAAAAAAAAAAAACCCCACACATGTAAATATACTACAGTGAAAGATGGAACTATAACAGAAAACAAATCTTTGTGCCCATGCAATCACATAGCTACCAGCGTTAAAATGAATGGTTGCTATTGTATGAGGCAAAGGCCTGTTTCTTAGATGTCACCTCAAGGGAAAAAAACCCTTTGTGGTTTAGAAAGTTCATTTAAAACATCAATAAACAATTTTCACATAGCTTCATGTGAGAAATTTAACAGATCAAAAGAAAAAAGGTCAGTTGGCAAGTAATAAAAGGAAAAAAAAAAATCAGCCTTGGTACAGGCAGGACAAAAATATAACCAATTTACTGAACTAATATTATTTGAAACATTGGTAATATTATAAATGTATAGTTTATAATATAGTACTACAAAAGGAGAAGCAAGTGAATTGACAGGTAATCTCTACAAAACCTGGAAAGAAATGTTTGGCATACCACAAAATGGTGATAATGGGGGCTAGAGCCAGAACACCAACAAAGGAAGCTACAGTTTCATCCTATAGGGGGTGCGACCTTTTGACCCTGGGCAATACTGGAATACTGTTCTGCCCCTTCACGTACTAACAGTTAAGCAAACTTCTATTCAACAGGTGCAGATCAGCCATTCACACCAACCAACTGTTCACAAGGATTCCCTCATAACTGGTTTGGAGGCCTTTACTTGTCTGAAAATACATGCATTGGAAAAAAAAAGCCTCTACAAAAGAGGTTCTGAGCTGTCACTAGATTTCATATATAATATTCTGACAATTTTGGGTCGCGCACACACACAATTCGAGGTAAAAACCCACCCACCCTAATACAGTTTGTAATAAACAGCAGATGTTGGGTGAAAGAGGAACCTTTAGATGGCCCCACTGTAAAAGTCAAAAGTCAAGACCCTCATCCACAGCCTGTCCTATGACAGAAGGGAAATGTGCCATGAGCAAAAGGGAAGCACCATGCCATTTATAATTCACAAAAACACACATGCATGTGCACCTAGCAAGAGACTGTCACTTTTGCCAGGTGGTTGACACTACTTCGACAGCCACACCCATCACATGACACTAGATGGCAGGAAACCAACATTAGTGCAATGTAATGATGCAAACACATTTTTGGATCAATCAGCACCACTACCAGAGCAAATTGGTGTATAAAGTGTGTCATAGACATGAACTGTCAATAAACACGTATACAAAACACCAAATAAGTACTTGAACATGAATACACTAATTAAAAATGTTTCACAACTCACAAAGAGATCTTTTTCAACCAAAACAGTTCTAGGATTTTACATTACATCTTTGTACTGAACAGGCCAGTACATTTCAAGAACTTAAAATTCATACCTGAAAATATTACTTTTTTTAATTTCTAAATTGCTGGGGGATCATACATTGGAGACATCACCCTGGCAAAAGCAGTAAAGCTCAACTGTGAAACGTTATTTGACTTCGAAGTAGTTACAAAGAGGGTCTTATCCACGTGAAACATGATGGTTTAACCAGACTGAAATATTAGCATCTGCATACAGTACAGACACTGTGATACATGTATAATGGCCAAGTTGTCTTCACAGCTGCTCACTTGCAGGTCAAGGCTTAAGGTTTTGAACAGACATTTTAAAGACTACACCACACATTCATGATGCAATAAACGTATTCAAATTCATATCCACATGAGTGGAAAGCAGTGCTTTGGAAAAACATTTGCTACTTTGGTAGCTCAACTGCATATTTTTGATTGAATGTTATGATTTCAGCTATGGTATGTAAAATATACAAGCCAAGCTAATTGAATTTAATGCATACGTTGTTAACACACTGCAAAAGAAGCTAATTCTGTTATACTTTAAAGGGAAGAAGTGCTACAAAGAGGCGGATGGAATAAAACACTTCTCAAATGTGCCATATGTATTTAGGGCCATATAAAATTAATGTCAAAATCTTAAGGCAATGAAAGCCAGCAGTCAAAAGGATTTTATTAAATGAGCCAGCGATGAGCACCTAGAAAGCAGTCCAAATGTGCTTATGGTTATTTTGAGACTAAACCAACCCTACTTTTTAATAACTGAAGAAGCCTATTCAGTCACTGCTGGCAATTATCAACACTAATACTAGACAAATCCTACTGCTAGGATTTATGTTGGAAGTTGTTTATATTCAAATTGTTACTTTTTCCCATTAAATGATGCTAGAAACTCTGCCATTTGATAAATATAGAACATTTTCTTCCATTTACATTTTAGAATGGCCAAGAAACGATTTTATAATTCACAGAAAAAAAAATAAAAAATGGTCATAACCTGCTTGGATGGATACAAATTTGATAAGTGGGAAAACCAACTATTCTACAGCACTATCAACTTCCTTCCTTTAAAAATGTGAGGATAGACCATGTAAAAGTTTCTTAAAAATGGCTCCCATTGAGAAATATGTAACTATGAGTGCAGGGCAATGGCGACAAGCTAACGGCCATTTAAAATCCTGTGCCCTGATTTCTCCAGGTTGCTCGCACCTGTCAAGATTGGTGTAGGTCCCCTGGACTTCAAAAGCTCTTAAGACAGTTGGGAATGATAAATAGCAGCATCTCATGATCTGGCTCCATCTCGCCTCCCCACACCTATCTAAAACAAAATTATCATGGCCTCTAATTTGAAAAGGAAAATATATAAAAAAAGAAAAAAAAGACTCAGCCAATCTGAAAGGAAAATATAAAAAAAAGGACTCAGCCAATCTGAAAGGAAAATATAAAAAAGAAAAAAAAACTCAACCAATCTGTCCAGAAAGATTGTGAGTGCGGAAGCAATCACACAAGTAAATGCTTTTACAGTTGTACGTGTTCTTCAAAAGGAAGTAGTAATGTGCTGTCCCTGTCAGTGGCAGCCAGCATGTATAAACCAGCTCAGCAGCTGTAAAAACTAATCCTGATAACAAGTCTAGTCTATTTTAAGGCAAAAATAGCAGGGACTGCCATGTATGAATAAGGTGCAGCTTTGTCAAATGTGTGCTTACATTTCCTGAATGCCTGCTCTAGCATTCAGAATACGTGAATATTAAAACTTAAAATGAGAAAAACAGTTGACTTAATTTGGTGCTCTGCACATTGGCTGGGCAGTATGTACAATTCCCTTATTGTACATCTTTGTATTGAGTTGTATTATTGCTGTATTGGCTCCCTTTATATTGTAAAGCGCTGCACAAACTGTTGGTGCCATATAAATTCTGTATAATAATAAATAATAATATTTATTCTCAATAAATGAGTGGTCCCAGCTACAAGAACACTTAAACAGATATACAGATGACACCTCTGCTGGAAAAAGCGGATATTCAGCTTGCTTTGGTTTGATTTGGGAAAGCCTGGTGAACAATGTGGTCAAATTGAGTAGAAAGATTTTGCTCAAAACATGGATAAAGCCCATAAAAAGTGTACACCTTAACAGATTTCTATTTGAAAAGTAAATAAATGAAAAAGGTCTCTGCAAACCGTTACAAACGGGTGACATAGGATGTTTGGGGAAAAAAAAAAAACCTACTAAATATAGTTCTTCTCAAGATAACCAGTCTCAAAAAAGTCTAAGCCACATAAATGTGTCAAGTAAAGGAGGTGTTTTCAGAAGCCAGCAGTTAATGCCAGTTATTCAAGGATAAGATATTTCAGAATATAGACTGTACATTACAAGTCTTGGTCATGACAGGAGCAAAACATGGTGGAATTATCCTATGTGCAATGGTGTGCAGTAACAAAACAAACCATATTCAGTAATACAGAAATCCGCCTGCAGTGACAGCAGAAAAATGTGATATCCATTTGGTTGAAAAGCGTGACAGGTCTTGCCATTGGCGTTTTACATATGCCCCATACATCTATTATGGAGCGGGTAACAAAGCACAGGTCAGAATGAAAAATACAGGTCACCACCATTTAGGCCTATAGTGCAGAGCTTCCAAGTTGTCTCTGTTCTAACACATTCGGGTTGATTTACTAAAACTGCAGAGTGCAAAATCTGGTGCAGCTGTGCATGGAAGCCAGTCAGCTTCTAACTTCATCTTGTTCAATCAAGCTTTGACATTAAAAAGAAAAAAAAAAAAAAAACTTGAAGCTTATTGATTTCTATGCAGGGCTGCACCAGATTTTGCACTCTCCAGTTATAGTAAAATTAACCCTGTTACCTTGTAAAGCTCTTAGAAGATGCATGTATCAAATGCTTGGGAGGAACCTACCTGAATGCAACTCAAGGTTTTAAAAATAAAGGATAAAACAAAAGTAACAAAATATGACAAGACATGCCATCAAGTTAGGATGCTTCAGGCTGCTAAAGTGCATCTGGCAAGTTTAATCAGATATTTGGCAGTATTTATCAGAAAATGACATCATGTAGGAGTAATTTCTTCCCATTTTCACTTGAAAAGGCTGGCAAGGGTTATACAAGTATTGACAGTAGAGAAGAGGTGGAGCTCTAGAGATTGATTCGAAACCAGCACAAGCAGCAAGATTAGTTCACAACAATAAAGTTTTAGTAGCCATAATTACCCAGTTTCTGGGATTTGTCCTGCTCTGACCTCTTGGAAACAGTAGACAGGCTATTCCAATGTACACAGATATTTACATCTCACACTGTCACCTGCTGGACTGAACAACACTCTTTTGTCTTTTATATTAGCAGAGCCATTGAAACAACTTTCCAGGAAAAGGAGAGGAAAAAGGACAATCATGATAGTTTGGAAAGGGATGCCTCTCGTCTTTGTACAGGTTTTCAGTTACGCATCCAGTTTGCCTTGTGTGACACAGACACAGATTCTACACATACTCCCTAGGCTAATCATGTAGGGACAGCATAACAGAATATCTCTGTAGGAGATTTAGGATCAAAAGGAACATCTTTGCTGCAACAAAGATAGTCTGCGGCAATGGCAAA